TTTCCCTACTCATAACTGGGGGCAGGGAAGGAGAGTGGTTGTTTGACCCCGTGGCTCTGACCTCGGGGAGTGGAGTTGAGTGAATACTGTTGGACCACAGTACTGTTGCGGAAGTGACAGACATTCTTTCCAGGAGAGTTTTCTATCCCCTCTGAGACGCCATCTGCCTTCACCCATCAGCAGTTTGGGGACACTGGCTGCTCATCTTCTTGGATAGCTGGAATATGGTATAAAGACTTCAGAACAAAAGCTCTCAACTTCTGTTCCTTATTCTATTTAATAGACACAGAAGACCACCCTCTAAAATGCTCTTGGGTGACAAGTCAGATTTCTGTTGTAATTAATAGGAGATAGATTTGGATTTTTTCTCCCTTTGAATGGTTTTGAAAGGAAAGATCCAGCAGTATTTTATTTTATTTTATTTTTTTAACGTCTTTATTGGAGTATAATTGCTTTACAATGGTGTATTAGTTTCTGCTTTATAGCAAAGTGAATCAGCTATACATACATGTGTTCCCATATCTCCTCCCTCTTGCATCTCCCTCCCGCCCACCCTCCCTATCCCACCCCTCTAGGTGGTCACAAAGCACCGAGCTGATCTCCCTGTGCTAAAGATCAGGAGTATTTTAAATAACACTCATAGTTTGTTCTTCTCAGGTTAGAAGTGGATGAAGATTGAAGTCAGAGTGTGTTTTGACAGGCAACCTGCTCCCAGATCTTACAAGTTGACTCAACTGTTAAACTGTAGATTTCCCACATATCTTTGTGTAAAAACTTAATAATAGAGGAAGAAAGAAGGGATGAGGCATTCAGAGACTGATAGCAGTGTCAACAGTGCTTCCAATATCCAAATACTGGCTGAGACATAATTATAGCTGTGGGGGGAATCTGGTTCAAAGAATTCTGTTCCAGAGACACACACCAAAGAGATTTCTAGATCTTGAATCTTGATTAACTTAACCATAGGTGCTGAGTACTGAAATGATTTTCGAAACCAGGAGTGTTTTGATTATTAAGCAAGGGAGGAAGATGTGGTGGGGCAGGAGGGATTGCCTCATCGGAAAGGTGCCTGAAGAAAAAGGGAGGAGACCTCTGTTCTACCCGGGGTGTTAGGCCATTCCTGGGGAGTTAGGTCAAAGAGCTGTAGAGCAGCAGCAGGGCCTGTCATGGGGGTTCTGATATCTGCTATCTCACAGCCCTGAGAGTTGATGAGAGGTGGCGGCTGCCTTGATGCCCTGCTCCCTGTCTGTGGTCTGGTGACCTCTTAGTCCTATTAAATGTAATCAGTGCTTTAAAAAATAGTCCCATTCCGCCCTGCTGTTTCTCTACCTCCACCTGAGAGGGGTAACATTTACATGCTTTTTGGTGGGTGCTATGACCTTGCCTCACCATCTCTCCTGGCTGCTTTTGCGAAGATCTGAGTCATACTTATACTTCTCTCAGAGTTGGAAGGGACTTTAGAGGTCATCTCACCCAACCCCCTCATTTTGCAGATGAGAAAACCAAGGCCCAGAGCAAAGGCTGGCTTGAGGTAATACAGCCATGCGCTGGGCAGAACCAGGATTAGCACCCAGGACGCCTGACCGCTTCCTACTTGGAAACTGCACTGACATCAGCAGGCTTGGCCCTGGGACGGGCTGCTGCTCCAGAGCCTCTCAAGCCCCAGGAGCTACTGTCACCGCAGGCCCTCCTTGACTGTCGGCCAGGGGGTGCTGCGTAGGGACTTAGCGGCTTCTCAGCAGAGATTGCCAGAGTTGGAGAGGCAGCTTATAAACCAACTCAGCAGCTCCATGAGTTTTGAGTCTTCAGTAACAAACATTTTTTTTTTTACCACACCCTCCCTTTTTAGGAAGTGTTTGCTAGAAATCTTATTTACTAGTATTATTTTTTGTGCAAGAACTTGAGAATTCTATTCACTATTTCTTTGGTAGGGACGCCTGGTCTCAGCTCACTTGTGCAGTAATTGGTCCTATTCCCTGTGGGGTTCCTCAGTTGCTTACTGCTTCATTGTGTCATGGTGACTCCTAGGTATTAGCTGAACAAATTTAATTAAAGCCAGCACCGTTGTCCCTCTCTGCCGTGTGACTCTGATTCGGTGAAGTATATTATCGCTTTACAAAATATAGAATGTTGTCATAACTTATCTCTGTTTGTCTTTCCGTTGTGTGGATTAGAGGAAACAAAGTACTGTTCCTTCTCCTTGCCTTTCTCCAGCAATCCTCCCTCTCCAGGTGACTTTGTGTCACCGCCATGTGGCTTCCTTGGTGTTCTGAAGGGGAGCTGATCAGAACCTCTCATGGTTGAGAGGGAGAGCCGGGGCTCCCACATCCCCACAGTGCAGGCTGCACCCTCTCCAGCACGCCTTGTGCTGCGTACC